ATGTATATTCAAATGAAAACAGATAATTTAAATCTGACAATATTGAAAACACGCGCAGTTTGATGATTTTCTTAAAAGTACCTGTTTCCTGGGTTCCTTGAGTTACATGCACACTGATACATGTTCGTATAATATACAAGTATGCATTCAGACTTTTTCACAATGCATTCCATAATTTTGACATCTGTGGCTACGGTACTCCAGTCGGATTTCCTCCGGACATGCAACCATATCCGTAGTAACAGTAATGAAATTTTGCGGACGGATTCAGGTTTTTTGAAATATTCAAACTGCTTAAATTAATCCATCAAATACATTTGCACACTAACATCGCTTGGCTTTCAAACTTGTGTTATCGCACCATCGCCTGTGACGTAATGTCGTGCAGTTTGATGCACCAGTGACTCGCCATGACACAAGCATTATCGCGCCATTTATTATACAGAGAGGCTTCATCGTCATCGACTGCCACGCCTCTCTGTACTAAACCAAAGTAAAGTACTGTAAATAACATGTGACAATTGCTTCTTTACATCGTTATCGCACCATTGCTTCATCGTCATCGCAAAATTATCTCCATCGGCAAGTGGTGGCATCTCCATATGAGTGAAATATTCAACCCATACAGAATCAAACGAACTAATGACTGAAAGTTGGTGCGATTCTCTGAATGACTTGAACTTTTATATAGTGGCAAGTGCATCTCTATGATAAAAGTTTTTGATACCCTAAACTGAAATCAGGCAAAAATTGGTTGCTATGTTTTATAGTTACCATGGCAACATGTCTTAAAGTTCGAAAAATGGCATTTTTTAACTTAGTTAACATTTGCGGCAAAGCAAACAATTGGCAATGACTGTTTCCAAAAGTTGAATGTCAGATGTCTCAAATATATGATAAACATGTTTGGTAAATCAACTATTACATACGTTACTATGGTAACAAAGAATTCAAAATTAAAAAAAATATTCATTGAATTTTATAAAGTCATACACGTTAAAATGAATAGCAATTATAGGATGAAATATGACCAAATAATAGAAAAAAGAGCCTTGAAACATATACCAAGAACAAAATATGATATTTCATTTTGGTTGGCAATGGTTGCCCCACAGAGAGCCTTCAAAGTAACACTCTGTATGTTTCACAAAATTTACATAACTGTTGATCTTTTTGAAGATGTTGGTGTGCCATCGAAAAAATTCAAGATTCTTTAAATAGAGCGTTGCTATGGAAATAAGCAGAAAATATATGCTTTAAAAACTGAAATATTTTCTGTCCTTGGATACGTACCCTTAAATGTAGATTCCCAAAACTTTTATGATTGATATTTATTAACAGCTAACACTTTTAATTTTGACATCATCCAATCTCTAAGTGGACGAACTTTAATATTAATATAAAGTTGTAACATTTTCCCTTCTTGGTTACCATAGCAACAGTGTTGTTTTCTTCATCAAATTTTAATATGATATTCAACTTCAGTTCTAACAGATAAGTACGTACAAGCTGTTTCAATTTGTTTCTTGGTGGCAATAATGCAGCAAAAATAATTCACTTTTAAGTACTGCTTTGTCTCCATGGTAACAATGCAAAGTAGTAGTTAAACCCAATTTTTCTTATGGTTTTGGTGTTGTAAGGTCCATAGACATTTTTAAATAGCATTAACCCAAACTTAGTTATTGGTTTTGCATGGTTACACTGTGTTACCATGGCAACCATAAAAGTTATTTATAGAATAATATTGCTTATACCTATGTACTCAAGGTCAAACATTTTCATTGTTTTTCATTTACACCTACATGTACATTACAGCATTTTAAATGTATTCCAAATGCATCCTTGGTTACCACTTACTTAGAGATATATTCTAAACAGTTTCTTTACAGTATAAGAAAGCATTTTTGTGAGAATGACTTGTTTGCTTTTTTAAAGATGTTTAAAGTGAAAATCTTTTTTCAAACTTTTCCGGCTGTTGCCAACAACAACTTTTTGTTTGATATTTGTTTCTGCTAAGCTAAGCATGGGTGAAGTTTCATCAAAATTCTGCGTGAAAACGGTTTAAGTGGTTACAGAGAATGGCTATTAACTCTTTGTACCGTTTTACGGTGGCAATACAAAACGTGCTAGGCAAGGCTAGTTGTACCATAGACATAAATCGATTTATGTCTATGGTTGTACTAAGTTGTAGATTCATTTACACCTACATGTACATTACAAGGTAGTATAATGTAAGAAAGCATTATTAAAGATGTTAAAGGAATCTTATAACAACAACTTATCTGCTAGGCTTTACTTTCTCTGAAAACGGTTTAAGGGGGGGGGGGGGATCTGTCTTCAAGTAGCCCATACAGGTACAATTGTGCCTTGATAAAATAAGACACTTCTTTGACAGGGATCGTGTCAAAACCGGAGGTGCTATTGATAAAGCATCTACCCGTGAATAAAGCATAAGTTTATCTCATGGGCAGTATCCCACACACGTATGAGATAAATGTTATTATTGCCTTTTTAGCTCTTCTGAGCCAAAGGCTCATAGAGATAATGCTATGGCCATTTGTGCGGTGTGCGTAACCTTTTTAGAATATGAGCCATAACTCAAGAATTCCTTGGCCAATCAGTGCCAAATTTGTCACAGGGTATCCTTGGCCCAAGCCCTACCATTTATACTAAAATAAGGGTTGAGACCTTTAAACAATCTTCTTCTCCAGAACCACCAGGCAGTTTTTTCCAAACTTACATACAAGGATCAGGATATGTCGAAGATTAAAATTTGCACGGGGAACTACCCTGGGGCAAAGGGCGTGGTCTCAAGGTCACTTCAAAGTTAACCTAAATTTACAATTAATAAAAACGTGTATATTTTGATTATTATAAGGATTAGGATCATCAAATCTTGTAAGTTAATGCATCTTAGGACTTCACATTATGTTATTTCAAAAATAGGTCACGGTGATCTACTTTTCAAACTTTGCGGGCATTTGTTTTCAAATTGATTTGAAGGCATATTTTGGACACTTTAAGGCCTATGATCATCAAACTTTGTCAGTTGATGCATCTTGGGTCCTTAAACAACGTCAACTTAAAAGTAGGTCACCATGACCTACTTTGTGAACTTTATGACTAATCCTTTTAAAAACAATTAATCCCATTATTTCAGACACTGGGAGGTTTAGAATCATCAAATCTTGTAAGTTGATGCATTTTTCGACCTTAAAACATATTTATGAAAAAGTAGGTCAATGTGACCTACATTTTGAATTTTGCTGGCATTTGTTTTTAAATCGTTGAAAACGCGTATTTTGGTTACTTTCAGACCTACAATCATCAATCTTGGTCAGTAGATGCATCTTGGGTCTTGAAAAAAATGTTAACCAAAATGTAGGTCACCATGACCTACTTTAGACATTTTATGGCTATATCTAAGTATTTTAATTAATTATTGGCTTAGAATCATCAAAGTTTGTGAGTTGATGTATCTTGGGTTTTCGGAGAGTGACGACCAAAAAGTTGGTCATGGTCACCTACTTTAGACATTTTGTGGCTATAATTATCTCTGGTACTTATTGACATAGAATCATCAAACTTTGTCAGTTGATGCATCTTGGGTTTTCGGAGTAGGTCACTGTGACCTACTTTTGACATTTTATGGCTATATTTAAGTATCTCAAAAAGTAGGTCACGTATGTCACGACTTACTTTTGAATATCTCGGGTACTTATAAGCTTACAATTATCAAATTTTGTAAGTTTAGGCACCTTGGGTTTTCGGAAAACGTCGACCAAAACGTAGGTCACTGTGACCTACTTTTGACATTTTATTGCTATATTTAATTATATTTGGTACTTATTGGCTCGGAATCATCAGACTTTGTCAGTTTGAGGCATCTTAGGGTTTCATAGAATGTCGACCAAGAAGTAGGTCACGATGACCTACTTTTGAATATCTCAGGTACTTATTGGCTTAAAATCATCAAACTTTGTCAGTTTAGGCATCTTGGGTTTTTGGAAAACGTCGACCAAAAAGTAGGTCACCGTGACCTACTTTTGACATTTGATGGCTATATTTAATTATCTCTGGTACTTATTGGCTTAGAATCCTCAAACTTTGTCAGATGATGCATCTTGGGATTTCGGAGAACGTCGACCAAAAAGTAGGTCATGGTGACCTACTTTTCAATATCTCAGGTACTTATTTACTTAGAATCATCAGTCTTTTTCAATTAATGTATCTTGAGTCCTCAGGAAATTTCAATCAAAAGGTAGGTCACTGTGACCTATTTATGGTATTTAATAATTATATTATAATACCTTCAGTCTTAACTGGCTTCATATTATCAAACTTTGTCAGTTAATGCATTTTGGGTCTTATGATAAGAATAGAGATGGATGCTTCTAATAGAAGTGATAGATTGTACAGTTTATCAGAAGAGCGATTCAAGGCTCTGGGGCCTCTTGTTTAAAGAATATGCTTTAAATTTAATTGCAGATTTTTAGTATTGTCAATATACAATTGTCAAATTATACTATAAATAGTAACATCTGGCATATACTTATTATTAGCTCGATAATTGACAAAACATTAGTGTTACCAATTTTTCTGACTTATAAATAAATATATAAATTTACTAATATACCTAAATAAACCTTTATAAATATTGCAGAGGTTTTTTTTCTTCATTTTTGCACATTGACGAGAAATGTGCTCGTATATGTTCGCGTTTGTCAGCCATTTTAGAAATCGACACCAAGGTCATATAGAGTACCGATTGAAGTGGCCCAATATCCATTATGCAGATATTTTCGTAATATATTAATCTACTCACACTCGAAATTCTACGCTTTTATCACAAAATGCACAGCTGTTCCAAAATATGTAGGTTTGCCGCATGGCTAGTAGATTTACAAGTATTTTATTTTTAAGTCAATCTTGATCACTGTTATCTTCAACTTTATGTACTACAATTAAATATGCAATGAAATCATAGGAACTAAAACTCCTTTATCAAGTTTCATTCTTTTATTTTAAATAACAAGCACATACTTCAAAAATATTTTTTCTTTATCGTTCAACAACGAATTCGTTCAATTTACTCACTTCACATCTATACCCCTGAACACCAACACTCATATTTTCATGTTCCACACCACTTGGCCTTCATCCTAGCTAAACACAAAGATCAAAACTGTGCACATGTCAAGAACTGATTCTTTCATTCCAGTCTTTCTGTTTAGTTTTGGTCAGAGTTCGTCCTTCATCATCAGAAAATGAAACAATTTATTTGCAATTTCAGACCAATCTTTGTAAAATTCTAATTCAGTGTCTTGGTGGTAAAGATGTATTAAGTTATCTCGGAGAAATTTTATTTTTCCAGCATGGTTTTTGAAATGCTGCAAACATGAGTCCTTTAATTTCAAGGCAGCTTTCAGAATAATTTCCACGGTGCTCTCAAACTCTCGCGGTGGAATGTTATCCAAGAGATCACACACGATTCCACAGAATCCATTTTGTACCAGGTGATCCTGCAGAAGAAACCTAAAGAGAGAAGGAAACAAACTCTTCAATTTCTTTGAAAACATTTTTCTTGACGAGAAGACATACCGATTATAAAATAAACGATATTTATTGATACTTCGAAAGGCACCGGAAATAAAGTCCCCCCCCCCTCCCCCCCCCCCAAAAAAAAAATTGGCAAATATTAAATATCAATCAAATACGAATATGAGTTTCAAGATGCAACATTGAACTAACACGATGACTACGATTCTTATGCCTGTCCTTTTTTTTTTTTTACTTTCCGTTGTTCACATACATAGCGATACCATTTCAGTCATTCAGATACTAATGACCAGAAAACATTTATGACTTGTACATTTCTGCACGAGTGAAATTTAGGACCAAAACACTTCATCATAGTCTAGTGCGCCGTCTGTGCCAACGCCACCGCCATTTTTCAAAAAGTCGGATTTCAACCCGGTGTAAATAAAACGTTATAAAATTCATACCTGTTAAGAATAAACACCAAAATTTGAGGAAATATAGTTAATTAAACAGTTTTACGAATTTCCATTTCCATTAAAAAAATACAGAGTAGTAATTACTTTTCCGTAGGATTTTGAATATAATAAACCGATTTTTAATACCAACTTTTGGGTATTGCGCCGCCTTCCTACACGAGACAATGAAATGTATCATTTAAATAGGGTTATTTTGTGTAGATACTCCATATTTGTCTATAAATTTATTAGATAGTGTTGGTTTAATCTTTGTACGAAGTTTTATTAATATATGACATCGTGTTCCTACAAAACAACGCTTGTCTACGGAATTTTGGGACAACCCTCGCATTTAAAGTCTAAAGTAAACGATATTTTTAGGGCTTTAATAATTATTATATTATTGTAAAGATATCCAACTATTTTTCAAACTGTAAGTTGGTGATCTTTCATATCAAATTGCTTAGCAAAGGACACATCTCTTCCCCAGCTTGGTTTCATTGAGCGACAGAACAAACATTTTTTTAACATCTCCCTTCCTTCACTTAAACAATCAAACCAAATTAATGACTAAACTTCTGGCAAGTTTTTTGTCTAAAATAAACCGTGTACAAATTATTATAAACTTCTGCAAAGGAATTTCCGAAATATAGTTTAACTTTACAGCCGTTCGTTTCTCGAATACGACTGAGTCAACCATTTTTTGTCACAAGTAACCTACATATTGACGTCATTTTCACACTGTGACGTCACAATCATGATGCAAAACGTTTCAGTACATATGCTATTTATAGAACATGCGTATGACTTTATGTGTGCCAAATTTCATTCTGATCTGAATTGTGGTTTTGTAAATATAGAGGTAGTTCGCGAACTTTTTGATCACCCCTTGTACGTCCACAAAAATAGTATTATCAGATCACTTTTCACGCTTTCTTCTATACACTTTTCACTATCTCTGATAACTTACTCATCATACTGTCTTAACATCTCCTTGGATGAATGCTCTCTGTTGTCCTTGGTTACTGACTCGTGCTCTTCCATCAGATCTACAACCAGAGACAGCGCCCTCTCGGTAAGTTTCATCACATCTTCCGCCGGCCCTTGCTCTGAAAATAACTTCGCCAGGACACTGAACCCGCCGAGATTGCCGAACTTCGTTTGAGCGTACGGAAAGTTTCGAACCATTGCCGACAGTGCAAATAAAAGCTTCCTCTTAACGGAGACTTCCGCTTCCGTTGAAAGTGCACGCACAAAATGTTGGAGAAGACCAGCCTCAATACAGTATATTTTCACTTTAGGGTTACTGAAAGCGAAATGAAAGATTATAAGTATTTCAATATTTAAATGGAAATTTTTTGTAGATGTACAAGCTGATGGCAGAAGACACGTTTTAATCTTACTTCTGAAGAGATGATGCCAAGAGTGACGCCGAGATGGACCTGACATTCTCATCCGAGTCATTGAGGCTCTTTATAACCATTTTCATACCACCAATGTCACAAAATAGGATAGCATTATCAATCTAAAAATGAAATTCAAGTAAAAATTAAAATAAGATAATTTAAATATTTAGCTACCGACCTATCAACATCAAGTATCTATGTTACAGTTCGAAATTGTGTATACAGTTAAACCTGTCTTATCCGATAAAATCAATTTCGGATTGGACAGTGCGTCTGTATTGCCAAAATTTCTAGTATCTTGCTATCTTGCTGTCAAGCATCTTTGCAAGCCAAGGATTTCTGATACGCTACTCTCCTCATGAGAAGAGTAGCATTTTAGAAACCCATGGCTAGCGAAGATTGCAGTCAAGTTTTTAATTCTCTTTGTCCTGTTTACTAATACCTAAAAATACTGAAGTATGTTATTTTATATTGCACACTGCAACCTTCTTATTGCTATACCTATTCTCTTTGCCGTTCTTTGCAAAGTGTTGACATCAATCAAAAATTTTGTTACAAAAGGTAATGATATCTTGGCCGAACTCATCTTTGCTAGCTAAGGCTCTCTAATCTGTTTCTCTCCTGTCAAACTTTTGTAAGGAGCTACGGAAAGAACTCTCGCTTTTCGGTCGGGTCTGATTCTCGATTCCGGAGCTTTGTCAAACTAAGGGCTGTGTACATGTATCATAAGGGAAAAAGTATCGTGATGCATCACAAAAACTTTATTTTATAATCGAAATACATATATATGTATATCAAGATAAATGACGCTTTAAAATTTACACTTTTTTCCATAAATAATTATGAATTTTATATTCTCTGGCAAGAAGAATGTACATGTCTAGATTTATATTTGTGCATTCATTTAAATATACCTTATTGTAAGTCATTGGTATTTTAAGAATTTTATGAAAAATTGATTCTCAATTTCATGTTTCGATGCATCGTATCCAATAGTGATTCCTTCGCCAAAGGACCAGCATTAATATAAATCTTGGTAAAATTAGCGTGTGGAAATTTAATGGATGTTCTCTATGGTTTGGATATTCCTTAGATAAATAAAGTGCCGCGCCACAGCATGATACGCCCGTCAAAAACTTAAAATTTTCTTGAACAGTTTAGGTGCAAGAAAATCACGTCAACCTTGGTTCTAATATTTCGATGATTTTTCCATTCCTTAAAATATTTATGCATCCCCTGTGATGTAGGCATAAATTATAATAAATATTACATCACTGATAGATTTCTGTGCCGGTTGTGTTAGACCTTGTCAAATGCCCATCATATTAAACAATATCAAATTAGTCTTAACAACTTAATCTATACCAAATTAATTTTGAAAAGAAAAGACTGGCCATCAAATGACATGTTACAAACTGACCAGCAATTCTTCTGTTTAATCCCCTAAGGGTACAGATAAGACTGCTTGATCAGATAGCCTTCCTACATTGAACTCATTAATTAATCTTAACTGGATGCTTGTCTACTCATTACTACCAAGAGATGAATGGGTCTGCATTATCTACCATAATTGAAAACATAAAATACTCAAATATTTTTTTTGGTTGAGATTTAATGTCCGACAGGTTTTAATATATAATTTATATGGACATGCTGATTCCACCCCACCCCATAAAATTAGTTTTTAAATTAATAATATTACATAATATCAGATTAGTCTATTATGCAAAATCAAATTAGTTTTAATTACTTTTCATCAAATTCATTTTAAAACTTAAGCTAGCCAACAAGAGCTATTTTTAATCAAACAGGCTTACCCATTTGCCCAATACTCAAGGGATACAGATAACACCAATGCCCTGTCAGTTAGCACCTCACACTCAAAACCCATTAATTTCTCTCTAATTTGACATCAATTTTCTGTTAATTCTTCTTGACCAGTGCTTGGTAATTACACTCATGGGAGAGGTAGAATTTCTCTAACATACATTATATTTGTTATAGATTGCTGTCAAGTATATGCTTAAAAAATAAGTATTTTCTTGATTTAACACTTTTTTAATAGGGACAGTGCAATACTCTTACATTATTTGGGATGTGTAAATGAATAGTAAAAAGACACATTTTTTTTTAAAAATTTCACTTAAATTAAAGGTCACAGTGACCTTGAAATAGGTCGCGACACACCTTCTACCTAACATGCATAATCTGGCCAAGTTTGATGATTGTAAGTCTTATAGTTTTCTAGTTATGGGCCGGAAAGGATTTTTCCATATTTGGCTATAACCTCTAAAGGTCAGAGCGACCTACTTTTTGTGCGCGACACACTTTCTACCCAAGATGCATCAGATGACAAAGTTTGATAATCCTAGACCTAGTAGTATTAAAGTTATGAGCCGGAAACGAAAAAGCTAACAGACGGACACGAAGCCTATAACATAATACGTCCCGTCTTAAGACGGGCGTATAAAAAAATTATAAACACTATTTCAGCATTTTTAGCATACCGGTATAAAATCGATGAAATGATTAAGATTTTAACAAACTTTCAAGAATTTAATTTGTGATGTTATTATAGGCCCTCCGTATGAACTTATCGAGGTGTAAACACAGACCAGGAAGAAAAAAGGTGGGGAGAGACACTAATAAAACAGAGAAACCCCGGAGGATTACGTACCGATTATCAGGTAAGACATATATGTACGTATTATTTTTATCATTTTAGAAATATAATCTTCTTTTGGTTCCTGTTCCTACATGTATGGGTGGGCGGTAAATGAAGCAGATAAAAGAAAGACGCAATTTAATTTTTTTTTTTACAAGTTTGATACACGACACACCTTGTACCAATATACTCATATATGATATAAATATCCATATCTACTTGTAACATTCTGAAATTCTTCAGATTATATACACTGAAAATAAAGCTCGAAAAGTTTTCGCAGAAATGTTCATAATATTCAAAATATACATATTTCAGTAAATAAGTGTAAGCAGCTAAGAATTGGAAGGACTTGTGGATTAATCGTTAACCCGTTGAAGCGATATGCACATATACCTAATTCATTGTAGACATATTATACCTGTTACGCAACAACAGGCATAACGTATTTTTTACGGAGACACATTAGCTGAATCAAATTCTTCATTTCATTATTAACTTTGCAATGCAAATGTATAACAAATAAGGCCTATAAAATGCTTAAAAATTAAAAGTTTCTTATCAAATAAAGAAGCAAAATTCCACAAAAGTAACCTATAAGTGCGCATGACAGGTCATTTAAAATACATGCATTGGTAATGCACGTCTGGATGTTTGGCTACGTTTTATATTTGTTGCATTCATGTTGAAAAATAATGATTTAAGTATCACAACAAAGAAAAACCTTAAAGCAATATGAGCTGCACGTTTGACATCGAAAAATTTTGTTGCAAATTTGTAATTAACTATTTCAATGAAAGAAAAATAGAACATTTATAAAATTTTTGTTCATTTATGCACTGGAAGAAATTTTTATAAGCTATGATTGAAGCAAATTTGCATTATTGTCGTCCTGTACCATAATACTGTTTATTCGATTGCACAGAAATATTTCTTCTGAAATATTTTTAAAAATTATTTTGGTCTTATTCATCAAAAGGGCTTAAATTTAATGCAAATTAATCATAATAACACATTTTACCAGAAAAATAAAATTCTCAAAAATGCAGCTCATATTGCTTTAAATATCACGTGAGTATATGATACAAGAGTGTTATGGATTCATATAAGTATTGAATGGAACAAAATACAAGAGAGAAAAAAATCATTAGAAATTTTAGAAATTAGTCTTGTACTCTGTAACAATAACTACAGTAGATCTTGTAACTTGTACTCTGTAGCAATAACTAGAGTAGATCTTGTAACTTGTACTCTGTAGCAATGACTAGAGTAGATCTTGTAACTTGTACTCTGTAGCAATGACTAGAGTAGATCTTGTAACTTGTACTCTGTAGCAATGACTAGAGTAGATCTTGTAACTTGTACTCTGTAGCAATGACTAGAGTAGATCTTGTAACTTCTAATCTGTAACAATAACTAGAATAGATCTTCTAACTTGTACTCTGTAACCATAACTACAGTAGATCTTGTAACTTGTACTTTGTAACCATAACTAGAGTAGATCTTGTAACATGTACTCTGTAGCAATGACTAGAGTAGATCTTGTAACTTGTAGTCTGTAACCATAACTAAAGTAGATCTTGTAACTTGTACTCTGTAACAATAATTAAAATAAATCTTGTAACTTGTACTTTGTAACCATAACTAGAGTAGATCTTGTAACTTGTACTCTGTAACAATAACTAAAATAGATCTTGTAACTTGTAGTCTGTAACTATAACTAAAGTAGATCTTGTAACTTGTACTCTGTAACAATAACTAAAATAGATCTTGTTACTTGTACTTTGTAACCATAACTAGAGTACATCTTGTAACTTGTACTCTGTAACAATAACTAGAGTAGATCTTGTAACTTGTACTCTGTAACAATGACTAGAGTAGATCTTGCCACTTTTACTCTGTAACCATAACTAGAGTAGATCTTGTAAATTATACTCTGTAACCATAACTACAGTAGATCTTGTAACTTGTACTCTGTAATCATAACTAGAGTAGATTTTGTAACTTGTACTCTGTAACCATAACTAGAGTAGATCTTGTAACTTGTACTCTGTAACCATAACTACAGTAGATATTGTAACTTGTACTCTGTAACAATAACTACAGTAGATCTTGTAACTTGTACTCTGTAACAATAACTAAAATAGATCTTGTAACTTGTACTCTGTAACAATAACTAGAGTAGATCTTGTAACTTGTACTCTGTAACCATAACTACAGTAGATCTTGTAACTTGTACTCTGTAACCATAACTACAGTAGATCTTGTAACTTGTACTCTGTAACAATAACTACAGTAGATCTTGTAACTTGTACTCTGTAACAATAACTACAGTAGATATTGTAACTTGTACTCTGTAACAATGACTAGAGTAGATCTTGTAACTTGTACTCTGTAACAATAACTACAGTAGATCTTGTAACTTGTACTCTGTAACAATAACTACAGTAGATCTTGTAACTTGTACTCTGTAACAATAACTACAATAGATCTTGTAACTTGTACTCTGTAATCATAACTAGAGTAGATCTTGTAACTTGTACTCTGTAACAATGACTAGAGTAGATCTTGCCACTTTTACTCTGTAACCATAACTAGAGTAGATCTTGTAAATTATACTCTGTAACCATAACTACAGTAGATCTTGTAACTTGTACTCTGTAATCATAACTAGAGTAGATCTTGTAACTTGTACTCTCTGTAACAATAACTACAATAGATCTTGTAACTTGTACTCTGTAACAATAACTAGAGTAGATCTTGTAACTTGTACTCTGTAACAATAACTAGAGTAGATCTTGTAACTTGTACTCTGTAGCAATGACTAGAGTAGATCTTGTAACTTGTACTCTGTAGCAATGACTAGAGTAGATCTTGTAACTTGTACTCTGTAGCAGTGACTAGAGTAGATCTTGCCACTTTTACTCTGTAACCATAACTAGAGTAGATCTTGTAAATTATACTCTGTAACCATAACTACAGTAGATCTTGTAACTTGTACTCTATATTGCCCATGTTTGCCCTCATTTGTTCCTATCATCAGTATGACTATCAAACACAAATGGCCTTCAGCACAATTTTAGAATCTGACCTAAACTTTGTCACACAGGACTCTCTTGTTCTTTGAAGATCATTTTATGTATAAAGATAAGGTATTTTGGTTCATTTTAATCATAAGATTTGATAATTTATTTTCCCCAGCCCAAAAACTATAAAAGTTATTTTTGTATCATGACATATGATAAAAAAATATCTTATTCAAATTACCTTTCAATTATATTATTTAGAATAATTGATTATCATACTCATAGATGAATAGCAAAAGGTTATAACTTCTCAGTAGAATATGAATAGATCAAGTTTCCTAGCTCCAGAACACTCAACCCGCTGTTCAAGAATTTCAAAACAGACTTCCAAAGAAAACACAGTGAAAATTGTCTAATCTGGATCCTGTGTATTCTGAAATCTTGCCTAATATGATGTAAAGCTGAAGTCCCTATTAGTAAACCTATAGGTTTCATATGTTGTCTTATATTGAATGTTGTCTAATGGATATCATTGCTGTTTGAACCGATGGTTTCTGGATTAGTCAAGTTTTACTTCATATTGAAAATTTATTTGATTTTAAGAACAAATACAGATATATTTGTTTGTATGTAGGTACATCACCTGATGCATGTAGTCCAGTAAGTTCTCCATGATATCAATCCTCTCAGTGTTGTCAATAGAAGTAGAGTTCAGCATTCCGGTCAGTTCTAGGATCGTCTCACGGTCAGTTTTAATGTTCATCTCTAAACTCTCTAGGTCCTTCTTAAGCTCCTCATAACTCTTGTATTTCTGTTTTACTACCTCCATCCGCTAGAAATTTTAAAATGAAAAGCCTTTTTACGTAATTTAATTAATGCATTTTAATTGGTCTGCATAAAAGTACATGTATTTGTATAGAAGAGGCTGGGGAAAAAATTGAACTGTAGAACATACACAAACAGAGAAGAGATTCTAAAAATAATTTAACACTCAACAAACCTAATATAATTAGCAGACAAGTGATCTTTACCATTAAATGGCAAATCACAGTGCATTCTTGTAGGAATATTATAATATTTAACTGCAATTTGTCCAGAGAATATGTATGTCCCAGCAGTTACTTGGAGGGTTTTCCAAATCATACAAGGGGAATTTCCCTTTCTATAATGTTGTAATCCTCATTTTTTTTCTGGTATATACCCTGATATTACATGAGTCCATCTATGAAACTTCATTCAATCTATGGCATTTTTAATAAAACATTTAAGGCAAGAAGTTTAATTTTTTTATTGGTTGATACACAGGTATTTAATTAGAGCTTAATGAAAACACTTGAGAAAATGAAACATTTAAGGCAAAACATTTTCATAGAATTTTTTGGTGTGTTTATTACCACTTTACTACAAGTGCAACCTATATAAATTGCCCAGCTTTCTTGCAGATTATGTAACAGTTTTCAAACCATATATCTGTAATAATAATTCTTAAAAACCTGATTTAACTCTTCATCTTTCACATTTTAGGACTTAGCACTGAACATGGAAAAAGAAGCCCAGCAGTGTGTTATAAAATGTGACCTGTGTAGCTCTATGGAAAATGTAGAGAGCTTTTGTAAGAACTGCAGAGAGACCTTATGTGACCACTGCTGTGAGATCCATTCAAAGAGTGTAGCCTCAAGAGATCACGAGATCATATCACGTGTACAAGCTTCAGCTTATGGCATTGTGGACGACATGAAATGTCCTTCCCACAGTGGTAAGCACTGCGAAATGTACTGCATCACATGTGATTCGGTAGTCTGCACAAGATGTGTTACCGATAACCATCGTGGACATGAGTTTGATGAACTCAAAGAACTTTTCAGAAGAAAACCAAAAGAATTTGAAAACTTAGTCAAGATTTTTAATCAGAAAATTACACCAAAATATCTTAAAGAATGTGAACTTCTAGAGGAAAGGCTGGCACAAATTGACAAAAATCAAGCTTCCATGGAATCTGAGATTCACTTTCAAGCTGAAGAGTTCAAGATGATCATAGACACGTTAGAAGAAAAACTTAAAAGAATGTTGCAGGGTGTGATCAACAATGAAAAAGCACCAGTGAAAAAGTTACTGATGTCAAGAAAAGCGCAATATGCTCAGCTGCAAAAGTCCATAAAGAAACTGCAATCAATATTTGAAAATCAACACATGACAAATCTTCCTCTTCTCCTAACAAAGATAAGACAAACATTAGAAGCAACTGTTCTGCAAGAGGATGTAACCGTTTCTACTGAAATGGCTTCATTTGAAAAAGGTGAAATATCCATGGAGAAACTAGAAACATTATTTGGACAATTTAGTGTTGCTGCAACAGAGGATTTGAGAAAGAGAACATTACCTCCTGTAAAGGTAGCAGTGTCCATTGAAAACGTGATTGAAATGTCCAACTTAAAAGTCCAGGTACCTGATGTGTCTTCTGTTATTATAATTAGCGACAAAGAGTTACTCGTCTACGGAAACAAGTTTGGCTACCAGATTACAAAAGAAAAGGGACAAGTACAGACGGAAGTTTTCCAGAAATATGGACTCCAGCATCCTGTAGCCGTGTTATCCAATGGACTTCTACTGGCCAGAGATGAGCAAAATCCAAATAAAATATTGCAGATCTTATCAAACCATGTCAAGAAGCCATTCTTGGAAGTGGAGGTGACAGGAATTCATGTGACACGAAGGAGTGAGATTCTGATCTCAGTAGCTCAAGTGGAAGACTCTTGTGGAGAAGTCTTAAAATATAACAGAGTCGGGGAGATGGTGTTGCGAATTTATGAGAAATGTTCTGGAGAGGCCTTGTTTGCTAAACCAACATCCCTTACTGAAAACTTGAATGGGGATATCTGGGTCATAGATGTAGAGACCAACTCTACTGAAACCATGGATAAGTACGGACTTTACAGATTTTCCTATAGAAATAGCGACATTCTAAAAAACTTTACACCTCATACCCTGACCAATGATTCTAATGGAAACATTTTGATATCAGATACCAGGAATGGAACCATTCATGTAGTGGACCGTGATGGGCGGGCATTAAGGTATCTGGACACGGCCAGCCTGGGCATTAGACCCAGTGGTATAGCGGTGGAGGGCCCAGGACAGCTCTGGGTGGTAGACGGACTTAAGAAAAAATGTTACCTACTGAATTACTTCTAACCTGCATTTTATCTCTTAAAATGAATAAATGCCCAAAATAAATTTTAATTATCCCTTAACAAGTACAATTATTTCTTTATAAAAAATGACAGTACAATACACAATTTATATTACTATAGATCACTACATTTTTGAGACACCTTATTTTCACGAGACTGTCTTTGACTCTTTAGAAGCAAGACAAAATTTTCACGAATTTTGGCTATTGTACTACTGTAGATTCCTTATTTTTCGTTGTAGTTATTATTGCATTGGGTAATTTTACGTAAAAGGTCGACAAATAATTAAAATGCAATAGAACGATTCATTAAGAGATTTTACATAGATTTTTATCACATAAAAATAAAGGCGAGTAATTTTATTTTCGTGTGTGGTCTTTGACTCCTTAAATTACACAAAATTTTCCACGCGTATATTTAGGAATCTATAGTATATAATCTTTAGGAATAATAATAAATGCGAGAATGATAATTTAGCGAGTACATGCTCTTGTGTAATTCCGTGAAAATAAAGTTCTCCCGAATAAAAAGTGATTTATAGTAATTGTGCATAAAGAGTTTTTTTTATTGTATTTGCCACCAAATGCTTGATACAGTTTAATTTCTAAATTACGGTCTGGATCAAATGAAATCATTTATCATGTAAAAAATATTTCAATCAAATTTCTTACAAATAATCTCAATATTTTTATATACAATATTCAGTTATAACCAAAACTCAAAATACTTATGCAGATTAAGGGTACAATTTCCTATGTTGAATTTACTCGAAAATATACAACCAATTTATAGTTGAACAAGAGGCCCATGGGCCTTATAGGTCACCTGAGCATTATGCAACAACTTTCCATTGATTGAATTTGATCCATGTTTTAAGCCAGATGCTATAGCATTTACAATTTGGTCATCATAACTATACACTTAGCAGTTCCTTAGTTTGGTTACTTTATACCCATAGGCAGGGTAGGGGAACAAAAAAATGCATTTCAACTAATCAGTAATATTCAGCAATAAGTAGTGCCCCTACCACACATGAACCCTTGACTCTTAGGCCTAGATGCACACATTGCACTATTTTTGGAAAGGCATCCTTGCTTTTCAAAAATATTTGATTAATACCAAGGAGCACATTTCAAACAATTCATTCATTTTCAGTATATAAGTATAGCCCCCCCCCCCTCTATGGTACAACTGACCCTGGGGCCTTGAAATTTACAATTCTTGAAGATTAGGGACTGCTCATAACTACATAGGCAGTTCATCTGCTTAAAACCTAGGAGCAAAGAAGAAGATTTTCAAAGATTTAATGTTTTTTCTCTATATACATGTATAATCAATACAGCCCCGCCCTAACACCAGAATCCCTGACCCTGGGGCTACAAAATTCACAATTTTGGTAGAGGCACTCTTGCTCATCATAATTATGTACTTAGTTAGTTTATTTAAAACCTAGGAGCAGAGAAGAAGATTTTCAAAGAATTCATGTATTTTCACTATATAATCAATACAGCCCCACCCTAACACCAGAACCCCTGACCCTGGGGCCATAAAATTCACAATTTTGGTAGAGACACTCTTGCTCATCATAATTATGTACTTAGTTAGTTTATTTAATATCCAGGAGTAAAGAAGAAGATTTTCAAAGAATTCATGTATTTTCTCTATATAATCAAGAGCCCCGCCCTAGCACAAGAACCCCTGACCCTGGGGCCATAAAATTCACAATTTTGGTAGAGGCACTCTTGCTCATCATAACTATGTACCTAGTTAGTTTATTTAATATTCAGGAGCAGAGAAGAAGATTTTCAAAGAAATAATGCATTTTCAAAATTAACTTATTAAGCCCCGCCCTAGCACAAGAACCCCTGACCCCAGGGCCATGAATTTCACAATTTTGGTAAAAGACTCAATGCTGATTACAATCATGCAAACAGTTTGACTGCTTGATGTCCAGGAGTAAAGAAGAAGATTTTTAAAGATTGCATTAATTTTAGTGGTTTTGGCCCCACCCCCTAGGTCCCAGGGGGGCAAGGATCATGAAATTCACAATTTTTGTTCCCCTTCACCCATAGATGCTTTGTGCCAAATTTGGTTGAAATTGGTTCAGTGGTTGCAGAGAAGAAGCTGAAAATGTTCAAAAGTTTACGACCGATTGACGACGAACGACGTACGACGGACGACGATGGACAAAAACAGATAGCAATAGGTCACCTGAGTGACTCAGGTGACCTAACAAAACTTTAAGATGATTCTATATAGAATATATAATAAAATAAATTCAAAATGCAGGAATTTTATTTTATTTATTGTTGAATAAATATATATGCCTTTGAAGACATGCAGAAGATAAGCAACCTGTTGAAAGAGACAACCTGTCATATGTGACTTTTTTTTCCATTTTTTCATTGTCCTTTAAAACAGTTTTGACTGTACCAAGTACAACTAATGATTAAATAAAAACAATCTGAAAGTCTACAACTAATGACTAAATAAAACAATCTGAATGCAAAACAAAGAATTATAAAATTTATACACAGATTAAAAAATTTCCTACCTCAGTATCCTCATCGTCTATCTTGTTGACTTTGAATTCTTTCAGGGCCTTCTTCAGATCCTCTGGTGTAAAGTAATCCTTGTCTGTGTTAACAATCCCTACAACAAAGTCATCATGTCACAAACTGTCAGTCTACTGTGTTATCAATCCCTACAACAAAGTCATCATGTCACAAACTGTCAGTCTGCTGTGTTAACAATCCCTACAACAAAGTCATCATGTCACAAACTGTCAGTCTACTGTGTAAACAATCCCTGCAACAAAGTCATCATGTCACAAACTGTCAGTCTACTGTGTTATCAATCCCTAAAACAAAGTCATCATGTCACAAACTGTCAGTCTTCTGTGTTAATAATCCCTACAACAAAGTCATCATGTCACAAACTGTCAGTCTGCTGTGTTAACAATCCCTACAACAAAGTCATCATATCACAAACTGTCAGTCTTCTGTGTTAATAATCCTTACAACAAAGTCATCATGTCACAAACTGTCAGTCTGCTGTGTTAACAATCCCTACAACAAAGTCAACATGTCACAAACTGTCAGTCTTCTGTGTTAACAATCCCTACAACAAAGTCATCATGTCACAAACTGTCAGTCTACTGTGTTAACAATCCCTAAAACAAAGTCATCATGTCACAAACTGTCAGTCTACTGTGTTAACAATCCTTACAACAAAGTCATCATGTCACAATCATCATGTCACAAACTGTCAGTCTACTGTGTTAACAATCCCTACAACAAAGTCATCATGTCACAAACTGTCAGTCTGCTGTGTTAACAATCCCTTCAACAAAGTCATGTCACAAACTGTCAGTCTACTGTGTTAACAATCCCTACAACAAAGTCATCATGCCACAAACTGTCAGTCTACTGTGTTAATAATTCTTACAACAAAGTCATCATGTCACAAACTGTCAGTCTACTGTGTTAACAATTCCTATAACAAAATCATCATGTCACAAACTGTCAGTCTTCTGTGCTAACAATCCCTAAAACAAAGTCATCATGTCACAAACTGTCAGTCTTCTGTGTTAATAATCCCTACAACAAAGTCATCAAGTCACAAACTGTCAGTCTACTGTGTTAACAATCCCTACAACAAAGTCATCATGTCACAAACTGTCAGTCTACTGTGTTAACAATCCTTACAACAAAGTCATCATGTCACAAACTGTCAGTCTACTGTGTTAACAATCCCTACATCAAAGTCATCATGTCACAAACTGTCAGTCTACAGTGTTAACAATCCCTACAACAAAGTAATCATGTAACAAATTGTCAGTCTACTGTGTTAACAATCCCTTCAACAAAGTCATCATGCATAAACTGTCAGTCTACTGTGTTATCAATCCCTACAACAAAGTCATCATGTCACAAACTGTCAGTCTGCTGTATTAATAATCCATACAACCAAGTCTTCATGTCACAAAATGTCAGTCTATTGTGTTAACAATTCCTAGAACAAAGTAATCACGTCTGTGTTTAAAATCCCTACAACAAAGTCATCATGTCACAAACTGTCAGTCTACTGTGTTAACAATCCCTACAACAAAGTCATCATGTCACAAACTGTCAGTCTATTGTGTTATCAATCCCTTCAACAAAGTCATCATGTCACAAACTGTCAGTCTACTGTGTTAACAACCCCTACAACAAAGTCATGATGTCACAAACTGTCAGTCTACTGTGTTAATAATGCCTACAACAAAGTCATCATGTCACAAACTGTCAGTCTACAGTGTTAACAATCCCTACAACAAAGTCAACATGTCACAAACTGTCAGTCTACTGTGTTAACAATTCCTACAACAAAGTCGTCATGCCACAAACTGTCAGTCTTCTGTGTTAACAATTCCTAGAACAAAGTAATCATGTCTGTGTTAACAATCCCTACAACAAAGTCATCATGTCACAAACTGTCAGTCTACTGTGTTAACAATCCCTACAACAAAGTCATCATGTCACAAACTGTCAGTCTACTGTGTTATCAATCCCTTCAACAAAGTCATCATGTCACAAACTGTCAGTCTACTGTGTTATCAATCCCTTCAACAAAGTCATTATGTCACAAACTGTCAGTCTACTGTGTTAACAATTCCTACAACAATATAATTATGTCACAAACTGTCAGTCTACTGTGTTATCAATCCCTTCAACAAAGTCATTATGTCACAAATTGTCAGTCTACTGTGTTAACAATCCCTACAACAAAGTCATCATGTCACAAACTGTCAGTCTACTGTGTTAACAATCCCTAGAACAAAGTAATCATGTCTGTGTTAACAATCCCTACAACAAAGTCATCATGTCACAAACTGTCAGTCTACTGTGTTATCAATCCCTTCAACAAATTCATCATGTCACAAACTGTCAGTCTACTGTGTTAACAATTCCTACAACAATATAATTATGTAACAAACTGTCAGTCTACTGTGTTGTCAATCCCTTCAACAAAGTCATTATGTCACAAACTGTCAGTCTACTGTGTTATCAATCCCTTCAACAAAGTCATCATATCACAAACTGTCAGTCTACTGTGTTAACAATTCCTACAACAATATAATTATGTCACAATCTGTCAGTCTACTGTGTTATCAATCCCTTCAACAAAGTCATTATGTCACAAACTGTCAGTCTTCTGTGTTAACAATCCCTACAACAAAGTCATCATGTCACAAACTGTCAGTCAACTGTGTTAACAATCCCTTCAACAAAGTCATCATGTCACAAACTGTCAGTATACTGTGTTAATAATCCCTTCAACAATATAATCATGTCACAAACTGTCAGTCTACTGTGTTAACAATCCCTACAACAAAGTCATCATGTCACAAACTGTCAGTCTACTGTGTTAACAGTTCCTACAACAATATAATTATGTCACAAACTGTCAGTCTTCTATGTTAACAATCCCTAGAACAAAGTAATCATGTCTGTGTTAACAATCCCTAGAACAAAGTAATCATGTCTGTGTTAACAATCCCTAGAACAAAGTAATCATGTCTGTGTTAACAATCCCTACAACTAGTGATGGGGAATCGGAAAAAAATCAGAATCGATTATCGGTAATAATCGGCTGGGCATAATCGATTAATAATCGATTATAATCGAAATTTTTAACTTTAATGAAATTAATATAGAAAAGTTAAAACTTACTCAGATTTCTGTCAGACTTTTACAAAAAAATCATTTACTTACATAAAATATTCAAAAATGTTAATTGAAATTTCTTTTTTAAAAAGTGAAAAATAATATTTTGTTTACTTTAAACAAATCATATAGGACTATTAAAAACAGTGTGGGATTTTTTTTTATAAAGTCCATGCAATGGGTATTTTACTGATATTAGTCCCACCTTTCATTTTAATAAATGTATTTATTTCTTAAAATTAGTTTTAATTAGTTAAAATTGCATGTTTTAAAAGTAGTTATCCAGAAGTAAGATTTGTATTTCTGATTATAATTATGTTTAAAGATTGACTAGACTAATTATGTTTTCCTTTGTATAGTAGAACCTTGCAATATCACAGTTTTCTGGTTTTAGTCTGACCCCATATTTAATCATGGCGGTTAAGTATCAACAAAACACAGATTCCTTCCATGTTTTCAACATTCATCACTAATTTTATGCTCTTTGCACCTGGATCTGGTAGTAAAATTAAAGTATGACAATTTTATTTTTTGTTAGCGATGTCGGCGACATTTATTTTATAATCGATTAGTAGCATCGAAGAGCTTCTAACGACCGACAATCGATTGTCGGCGACAATCGTTCCATCACTACCTACAACAAAGTCATCATGTCACAAACTGTCAGTCTACTGTGTTAATAATCCCTTCAACAATATAATCATGTCACAAACTGTCAGTCTACTGTGTTAACAATCCCTACAACAAAGTCATCATGTCCCAAACTGTCAGTCTATTGTGTTAACAATCCCTACAACAAAGTCATCATGTCACAAACTGTCAGTCTACTGTGTTAACAACCCCTACAACAAAGTCATCATGTCACAAACTGTCTGTCTAATGTGTTAACAATCCCTACAACAAAGTCATCATGTCAGAAACTGTCAGTCTACTGTGTTAACAATCCCTACAACAAAGTCATCATGTCACAAACTGTCAGTCTTCTGTGTTAACAATCCCTACAACAAAGTCATCATGTCACAAACTGTCAGTTTACTGTGTTAACAATCCCTACAACAAAGTCATCATGCCACAAAGTGTCAGTCTTCTGTGTTAACAATCCCTTCAACAAAGTCATCATGCCACAAACTGTCAGTCTGCTGTGTTAACAATTCCTATAACAAAGTCATCATGTCACAAACTGTCAGTCTACTGTGTTAACAATCCCTACAACAAAGTCATCATGTCACAAACTGTCAGTCTACTGTGTTAACAATCCCTACAACAAAGTCATCATGCCACAAAGTGTCAGTCTTCTGTGTTAACAATCCCTTCAACAAAGTCATCATGCCACAAACTGGCAGTCTACTGTGTTAACAATCCCTACAACAAAGTCATCATGTCACAAACTGTCAGTCTGCTGTGTTAACAATCCCTACAACAAAGTCATCATGTCACAAACTGTCAGTTTACTGTGTTAACAATCCCTACAACAAAGTCATCATGCCACAAAGTGTCAGTCTTCTGTGTTAACAATCCCTTCAACAAAGTCATCATGCCACAAACTGGCAGTCTACTGTGTTAACAATCCCTACAACAAAGTCATCATGTCACAATCTGTCAGTCTACTGTGTTAACAATCCCTTCAACAAAGTCATCATGTCACAAACTGTCAGTCTACTGTGTTAACAATCCCTACAACAAAGTCATCATGTCACAAACTGTCAGTCTACTACAGCATTTGTAGTAATAATATATTACATTTTCTGACACTGTCACTAAAGTGCATATCTTGCAATAGTACTAAAAGGTTCTACTATTGTCTTTGCAATCTTATCCTTAAACTGCAGAAAAAAACATCAATGATTTTCGATTACTTGGATGTCTGCTTTATAATATCATATTCTGACTGGGATGATAATTATGCTTCATCTGCTAGTCCTCTTGGCTAATGTCTTTATGGCAGTCTCTTCTTGAGGACTACATTAATACACTGCAGTGTACATGTACAAAATATTTGTCTATATAGTTACTGTTCAATAATGAAAAGAACAGTTCTATCACTAGAGGGTTAGGGACAACATTCCTGCTGAGAACTGAGAGTTCCTATAATTATCTACCTTGTTTTCCATCCTTGACCCAGTACTTGAGTCCACTATCCCCCTCCATTAGTTTGGCCTCTCTCTGACCAGTCTGCATATTCAGTCTGACATGTAGCCCTTTTGGAATCGCTTGACCTAAGAATGTACACATTTTCATTACATAAAACTTAAATGAGTAAGCTACATACGCTTACTTATAAAATATTTTAAGATTTTTTTAATGTCACTTAGGTAATAGAAAATTTCGAGATCATTTTAAACACAATTATCTAGATGTTACAAATACTTATAACTTAACCTTGTCACACATCTGGAAAACAAAGGTCAGATCTAGCATCTGAAGCAGGTCTGATAGTTTGCATTCTAAGATGCATCCTCCATGCAAGTTTCATCACAATAGAGTTATAGTAATTAAATATGGCAAGCTTCATGAAAATTAACTCTAGTCCCTCATCTGCAAAATCTAGGTCCGACCCAGCATCAAAAGAAAGTTTAGACCAGATATATCTAAGGCATATAGTTGTTTGAGAATTACTTTCCAATGGCAGACGTGATTAAACAGTGTGATATTCAACAAGCAAAGCATTTTCAATATCTATATTTTTTTTAAGTGTGTTGAACAGAATATGCTAAAATATTGCAGGGGCCAGCAACTATAATATCAAAATGGCAAAACAGTTTACAAAGATGGATGTCAAAACAATCAAAAGTGGTCATTTGTTTATCATGACAACTTTGTATGAAGTCTGATGGCAATCAGGCAAATTAATAGTTCCAATAAAATTCATCTGAGGAAAAAAAATCTAAATAACCTTTTTTCAGACATAGAAACATGCAATTTGCTTACCACTGAGTGTGTCAACAATAAATTGAGTTTAGCATTCAAAAACCAGTTGACAGAAATTATTCTCAAAATGTTTTATGTATTATATTGAAACCTTGTGTCGACCAAATGACCATTAGACAAAATATAAAGTAACTGCTTGTCCCATTTCTTCCTTTAGCAGATATTTTTATAAAAATAGAAATGTCATTGTCAGTGACAGTCTTACATGTAATCATGGTATGATGTTAAGCATAAAAGAGACAAATTTAAAAAAAATGTGTGTAGCAGGCCATACAAGTCGGCTACGATTTCAGGGGGAGGGGTTGGCCCTAGGTATATATTATTTTACCTGGCTTGAGCTCCTGCCATTCTTTTGTTGGGTAGAAAACATCCATGTTACTAAAATCTGGTGCATTTTCATCCTCTGTTGTGACTGTAGCTAAAACAGAGAGATACATATGTATTTCATTACACATGTTCAGTTCTACAAGAGCACAGTGCCAAATGTAGGGCAGAAAGCAGGATCTAACCCATATCCTCTTAACTCTAAATAAATACATAACCACTTGATCTATATGGGAAACTTATATACCTGCCTTATTGCTTAACACATTATATCTAAACAAACATACCATCCTCTTCATCCTCATAATCAGGAACAACTGTAAGAGCACTGGTTCCGTGAGACGTAGACCCAGGTTCAGTCGGTCTCGTATGACCTGAGGGTTCCTTCGTTTTTGTTAAGTCTTCAGGAATTGATTCACTTTTTGTCTGTTGTTTGTTGTTTGAGGCCTTTTCACTTCTTACCATCATGTTATAACAGCTTATGGTGAAAAGAATTAAGCTGACACATGTAACAAGACGGACACCAATCAATAGTCTGGACATCTCTCAGAAAATTTAATTCCTCGTCTGTTTCCAGGGTCACTAAAATATTACTCTGTTCCAACTAAAATAATGAAAATTCTTAATAAATATATTATTTGAATATTAAGTAAAATCTCAGAAGCATTCATCTGTATACAAAGCAAACTATTCCTGTGAATAAACGACACAATACTGTCGAGAAAATTCGAGAAAGCTTTCCACTAACTGAACACTTGATGAAATAAGAGTTGTCTATTTCGTAAGATTCCTTTAGTACTTTATATTTTCTCGAGTACCGAAGAATATATTCGATTGTAATCATCAGCTGATCAGATCTGAACTGTTCAAAGCATGTCACCACTGCGTGTACTGTGCAGGCGTGGTGTCAGTAAACATACCTGCTGCCGTGGAAAGCACTTTGTTCTATTTGTCGGTATTACAAGTCTCAAATTAGAAAAGGGTCATTCAATTAAGCAAAACCATTGATTACTACTTATTTTACACCTGGCGCCTTGTTATTCATACACGTCATTCGTCAGAGTGTTTGGTCAAACATCAGTATAAAAGCGCGAGAGGTTCCGAAGGAGAACCATACAGGGACAGGGAACCAGACTAGTAGACTGGTATTGCCTGTCTTTACCGTACGCAGGAAAAGACAGGTGATCACCGCCATTAAAGCCAGGGATTCCTGGCTTGAGTGACGCGCCATCTATCGCCACTGCTTTACGATACAGCATGGGAAATAATCACACAATAAAGCGATCTGCTGACTCAGTGGGGAACTTTAAACCGATTTATGTTTCCTGCGGTAATTAAAATATGTCAATTCTTATAAACAAAACTAGTTTGCAGTGTTGCTTCAGTTCTCGTTATCCAATAAATGTATGCCATGTAATGTGTTAGGGGCTTGCTGATCTGTTATATCACGCCTGAAAATTTAGAATAAATTCAGCGTAGTGAAATGTCTTGTGCATAGGCCTAGTATGATTATGAAATGTTTAACACTCCTGAGACACAAAAAATCTGAAAAAAAGGAATACATGTATTTGTATTGTATGTGGAAATATTAGTGACCGTGTTAGAATGAAAAGCAAATACGGATATTGGTCTAATAGAACTGTTAAAAAGTATGGCGGTATAATGTTAAGTGTTGAAAGCGGAATACTTTGTAGAAATTGTTTACAAAAATTAATTAACTTGGACAAAAAATGCGAGAGTTTTATGATTTGTGTCAGAAAAACTATGTGGCTGTGTATACTAGAGGAAAGAGGGAAAAAGGCAGCACCTAATCAAACTTCTGACTCAGTGGCCCGTCGGTAAAACAACCACGGTATCGTTATTCAAAGCACTTTTAATACTTCTTCCTTGCAAAGACTTTAGAAAATTTAATGTTGAATATCTTTCACAATGATTTCTATCAATGTAATTTTCGTACGTAAAGAAAACTCGAGGTAACGATAATCATCCATAATATAGCACTCTGTGATCTGTTTTGGTTTCCCCGAGGTATTTAAATTCTACGTCAGGGAGAGTTTTTATCAACCAATGAGCGCGGCCGGTAGAGGGCTCTTTACATTACTGGTCACCTGTCTGTATATCGGATATCAGACAGGCAAGCCAGTCTACCAGACTAGTAGTAGGCCTAATATTCTAAAATCCGAATTTGAGTCGGTGATCGATTTGCATAATTTGCATTGAGGGCCCAATGTTATATTAATTTTTTTCAGTAAGAGAATGTAGCCGTCGAGATCACACATTTCCAAAAGGATTTTTTGCACAATTTGGAAACGTCCCCAATTCTAATTACATTATTTTTCACTTTTTCACCTTTTCTTGCACTTTCAGTATAATGTTAAAAAAAAAAACAAAAACAAAAACAAAAACAAAAAAACACACAATCTGATTAAAATACAGATCTCTACATAGCGCAAAGCGCAGAGAGCTTTGCGCTATGTAGAGATCTGTATTTTAATCAGATTGAAAAAACCACCACCACCAACAACAACAACAGCAACAAAAAAAAAAAAAAAACAAAACAAAACAAAACAAAAAAAAAAAAAAAAAAAAAAATTAAAAAAACCCATAAAAATTGTTTCACTTAAAAAGTACATGTATCTCAATTTGAAAACTACACCAGAAGCAAAATTAATGATACTTATTAATGATCAAAAATATCTTCTTGACACCATTTATAATCCTAATAAAAAGTGCTAGTATATCGTAATTTGTCGGTATAGAGAAAAACAATTTTAATTATGAAAGTTTCTTATACCAGTATAAATTGTTACTTTACCGGGTATAATGTATGTACAATAACTTCTGGGTATTTTGGTAGCTATGTATAGAATTTAATTAAACGAGGATACATAAGTAAGATGTACAGCCCTTTAGCATTATTCTAATGAATAAATAATTGAATTCATTACTTTTTTCTCAGTGTCAACTACTTTTAGTACCAATTCTTATACTACATTTTCGGTAGATTTCTAAAAGTGGAGGGGCCAACCAGACTTTCAATTAACATTTCCTATAGTGTAAGTAAGGTTGGGAAAAAAAGTGGGGGGGGGGGGGCAGGCCCCCCCTGGCCCACCCGGATACTACGCCCCTGTAGCTGAAGGATAGCATTCTAATATGGCGTCAAGCGGTTTGGTGAAAACTTGGGGAATTTTTATTATTATAAATAAACCAAACTTAAAACACAGCACAGTTGCAAAATGTATTTTTATCATGTATGAAGGGTACTTCTGTTAAGAAGCATTTTTTCTGTTATGTAATTGCAATAAAATCAACCATTGAACACAGTTTCATAATTTACCATGTAATATGGGGTGCAGATTTGAGCCATAAATTGGTCCCTGATTTGACCATAATTATTTTATTTTTTTTACATGCTCTTTAATATTCTTCTGTCTCAGACACTTGATGTTTTAAATCTTTCTTTACATAAATAAAAAAAAATTCCCAATACTATTATATTAAATTAATTTTTCCACTCTTAATTATCTCAAGTTTCCCTTTCGAACTAACATTTAATGCTTTAAAAAAAAAACGGATTCAAATTCTTGAAATTCAACAACTGCAGTAATTCAAAACATTGCAGATAATATTCCATCCTATTCAATATCCTTCTGAACACTTGATTTGGACATACATATTCCAACCCTTCCAACATTCCCCTCTGCTTCTAGAAGGGTCCCAATCGAGTGGGCCCACGGTGTCTCTTTAATCAGTACAAATAGAACAGATGCAAAATAGTATAAATATAGGGGTCAATCTACTTAGTAGATTCATTCACTTTTTGTGTAAGTGTTTTCTGAGTTAGGTGACTTGGGAAGGGTACCTGAGCTGTGTCGGAAAACAACAAAATTGTTAGTTAGATCACTCAGCTCAGGGACAAAGTATAACCAACAATGCTGTTGTTACCTGACACCGGTTGCAGCTACCCCAAAACACACCCCATACATCTCAAAGTCACAGAGACACCTTAGGTCACACAGACACAAGCTAAATTAAGTCACCGAGACACCATAGCTATTATCAAGTCACTGTATCACTTTTGGTTAGACACAACTAAAGTCACCGAGACAAAAACAAGTTCCCAAGTGTCTTTGAGACTAGCTATGTTGTCTCCGTGACTTTAGCTTGTGTCTAACCAAAAGTAATACAGTGTCTTGATGATAGCTTGATTACATTTACTGCTAAAGGACAAATATATTGACAAAAACGCAGCTTTGAACGGAATCTTATTTCTGTATAATTTAAAAGTTCCGTAAATTGAAGTGCAATTTTCTAATACCTGGTTATGCCGCTTACCTCCTCTGAAGTGAGGAAATACAAGATGAAATTTTGTTTGTTACAGGCGCGGATCCAGAATTTTTTTCCAGGGGGGGGGGTCCACCCCAGTGGAAAAAAAATCCAATCTCAGAAATTTCTTGACAAGCAAAAAAAAAAAAAAAAAAAAAAAAAAAAAAAAAAAATAAAAAAAAAAAGAAATTAAAAAAACCCCAAAAGTTAAAAAAAAAATTGGTAAGGGGGTGGGGGGGGGGGGGGGGGGGGGGGGGGGGGGGGGGGGGTGGAGGGTAGTGGTGACTTATATTGCCTCATATCTTTTACTTCTCATACCCATTTCACACATATTCGCGTTTACCAGGGTGGTCTGCGTTTTCCAAGGAGGGGGGGCATGTAATTTTTTTCTTGTTTTAGTATATACATTTTTTAACCTGGTAGGTTCCAGGGGGGGTCCTGCCCCCCCCCCCCCCCCCGACCCCCCTCTAGATCCGCGCATGTGTTACTTTGATAAAAATTATCCGTATGTTTAAAACCCTGGTTGTGCATGCTAAATATTTGTTGCATTATTTTTATACAAAGAATTTATATTAAGAATACCTTAAATTAATTGGGGAAAAGGCACATTGTATGTACATGTACTGCTGTACGACGTTCAACAGATTATACAGATAACGCTCAAACCTGCAATTCAGAAATGAAAGAAATATATTAATTCACCAGAAAGGGACATACAGTGTATGTATGGACCAATCGAAAATATTAGATAAAGAGATTGTCTCCCATTTATCATAAACGTTACAAGAAACCTCTTTTGACATAAATATTAAATACACATTCTGAATTGCAGGTTTGAGCATTTTAGGTTTGAAATGAAATAAATTTCTTTGACAATTTCAACTTACAGGTAGAAGAGATTCTCGAGCCACAGAGTATTAATGACGCAACAATTAAAACAATAATGGATACCTTTGAAAACCAGATTTCCCTGGCTAATTCAATGGATCCAGAAAAAAGAAAACAGTCAAATCTTCTATGGGAGTGTACTTATGTACGACATCTTTTCAAAGGGGATGGTAAAAATACTTTGATATTTTAAACAAATAGGAGGAATCAATTAACAAAAACAGAAGATGCTTTGAGATTGAAATAAGTTCTACTTCAATGTGTCCGTTTTATGAAATAACTTGTATTATTCTGTAGGGAAATGATACAACTTCGGACACTGTCGCTGTGTTTTTCTGTAGTAAATAGTGCTTTCAACGATCTAAATCTTTCTGACGTAGAGAAAGGTGATTGCATCGATCTAGATCTCGTATTATTTTGTAGAAATCTGTAATTTCACTCGTTTAGATCTTATTTCTGTTAAAAACGATGATTGTATCGACCTAGATCTTTACATTATTTTGTATTTTACGCTTCCATCGGTCTAGGTAACATACATTTCTGCAGAGAACAAGTTTATCACACTAAAAGGTAAAGATCTCTGTATTCTAGCTTTAAACAATGCTAAGTAAAGGAGAAAGTCCGAAAACTGTCCATTCTGTGAGAAAAAGAACTGTTCGAGGCCCGAAGGGCTGAGAATAGTTTTTTCTCTCACAGAATGGACAGTTTGAGGACTTTATCCTACTTAAAACATTTTCTATATTGCTAACTTAATAAACTGTCCCAGGTAATGGTTATGTATTTCCTATGATTACGTAACACACTTGATTGTCCAGAGAGTTGGGGTGAAAACAATAGCTGTATTGTTTAACTTAATGGACGATGCCAGGTAAATTTAGATTTAAATGATAGCTCAC